ATATGTCTATGTACCATTCACATGCCTGGTACCCAGGAAGGTCACAAGAGGGCGCTGGATCTCCTGGAACTAGAATTACAGACAACTGTGAGCTGGGAAGAGAACCCAGGTCCTTTGCAAGAACAAGTGCTCTTAACCATTGAGCCATCTCTCCATCCCTGGTATCTGTTGCTTGTGGTTTTGTATCCTTGACCCAGGTGATGCACCTGGGGCAAACTCAGGTCCTTCTTCAAAACGAGAGCATGGCAGCTGATACCTGCAACCTCACTGCCACTGCAGAGGCTGAGACGGGACTGCGGCGAGCTGGAGCCCATGGAAGTTCTAGGCCAGCCTAGGCTACAGTGTGAGGTCATGTCTCCCTCTTCCATATCATCTCTATCTCACAACCCACCCATGTCCAACCTTCTTTGGCTTTTATATGGAGTCAGTGGGTACAGTGGGTGTCCTTAAAAAACAGATAGCTCCCAGAGCCTACTCTGACTCCCCAACACCAACACCTCTGCCTCAGCAGACATGATATGTCTACTTTCCCCGTGTGTCCCCCATTCTTTTAAGATTGGCTTCTCTAAAGACTCAGATTTCTAATTCACAAATGAAAAGGGTTTCATTCTATTTTTTTTCTGGGAGGTGTAAAGCTATTTTGTATGTAGCATATATTTGTATAAGCTTACTTTCTAAATAAATATCTCTTATGTTGACTATTGCTTAAAAAAAAAAAAAAAACTCCAAAAGAGGAATTGTTGCCTCAAAAGATGAAAGCATTCAAACTGTCTTTGTAAACTGTGTAGCTGACTTACGTCCCATCTACAGCACGATAGTCTATCTGTCCATCACTTCCTCTGCTCTTGTTGCTAACATTCTAATTCCACCCAACCGTGGAGGTGAAAGACGTCCTTTCATTGCTTAATGTCCTATGATATCTTGGCTCTCAGGCAAACAAACCACACTCTGAGGTTCGGTCTCTGTGACACTTGGTAGAGCTGAAACTGTCAAGCAGTTTAAGAATTCTTCCTTGCCGTGTGTGTGCAGTACCGCTGGCTGCCAGCAGGTGGTGATGGAAAGGGATGGGCTGGGGTGGGAGTGTCTACATTTCACAGAGTTCTGCCTTAAGGGTGGCCAGGTTGAGCCCCAGTAAGAGCAGGTTTTACTGAGTTCTTATTGTGAGTTAGACTGTATACCAAATGCTTTAGGTGCAGTATATCATTTCACCTTCCCCTAAATCACTCTTGAGAGCATCATCTATTACACTTTAATTTTTCTGTTAAAGAAAAATCTAAGTACCAGAAGAAATTATACAACTGCTCTCAAAAGCAAATACCCAGAATTACCAACACCTGGGGACCATTAACAGCCTATTAACTAAACTGTTATTTAATCACTAGCTAAGTACAACCAGAGTTGCTAATTTACTTTGCTTAATTTCGTAGAACACCAGGCCTCTCTGGGCCGTGTGGTTGTGTTCGACAGGAAGTTAAAAGGGACTCCAGTGTACGCCCACGCTTTTGTACCCCAAAGTTTCCTTATGGATTACCAACAGTCTTGTCAGGTAGGCTGCTTAGCTCTACAAACTCGTC